ATTTACATCTTTCTGTGTTATATCCGCTCGTGTTTATAGTAGAAGCTGTTATTGCAACTACAGTGTTTCTGTGAATTCTGTGTGACTGTTGCAATGAATTCATCGGGGCGACATCCGACATCCTCTATCATTAAAACAGTGTGGAAGCGATGTGTGAACAGATCAAGAGACTAGGGGATAGAAAAATGAGAGATACACCAAAGTTTATAAGTAAACTTAATATTCAATAAAATCTACACTCATATTGACTCTATAGGACAGAGTAGAACTGCCCCATAGGGTTTCCAAGGAGCACCTGGTGGATTTGAGCTGCCAACATTTTGGTTAGTAGTGGTGGCACTTAACTACTACGCCACCAGGGTTTCCATAAGTAAACTTCATATTCAATAAAAACTACACTGGGAAAAATCATCAATAATTGGGGATTGGGGAGTGAATGTTTCTATAAAATATTTTTAAATGAGCATTTCTTTATATACAATAGCAAGGTAAAGGTCGAATATGCAGACCTAAATTTATTAGTGGTCACCAGGGGAGCCAGGAGGGAGGTGGGAAGGGGAGCTCATTGCTCAGAGGACGCTGAGTTGCTGTTGGGGGGATGGAAGAATGTAGAAATGGATCATGGAAATTGTTACCCGACATGATAGACCCATTTAATGTCACTGAACTGCACATATGAAGAATGTTGAAATGGCAAATGTTACGTATCTATTTACTACAACGAAACAATACATGGTTCAACAAATGAAAACATGCTAGCACTAGAAGACACGGATGGATTCCTTCCTAAGTTGAGAGACGATAAACGTGCTGAAAACAAAACGAAAAAAAACCAAACCGGTTGCCATGGAGTCAATTCTGACTCATAGCGCCCCTAGAGGACAGAGTGGAACTGCCGCATGGGGTTTCCAAGGAGGAGCTGGTGGATTCAAACTGCTGACCTTTTGGTTAGTAGCCGAGTTCTTAACCACTGCACCAGCAGGGCCCCATAAACCTGCCTAAATATGATATAAACCTGGAGAAAATGAATAGAGGTAAAGATCAGCAGATTTTACTATACAAACTTAAGAAACAAATTACAAGCAGGAAACGTCATAAGCAAAGGTAATAGCAAATGCTTAGCTGGGAAACAATTTCCAGCTTACATAACAGACAAAGGAGAATTCATGACGTATGTTTGATCCAGGAAGTTCTGAGAACTGTTGGGAGCATTGAAATGAAGGAGTCGGCCTTGTTCAACCCTGGGCTCTCTGAGAATTACCCTTAATCTCTCCTTTCTTTGGGGTTCCAGGTCCACAATGTCTGAGCATATCAGCTCCTGGAGCCCAGCCCTCTTAGAACAGACAGCCCTCAGCGAGAGGTTCTTAGCAAGAAGATCAGAAACGGGGACACTTCGCCTAGTCCCTGCTCTGTCCTTCCACAAGGGGGCGATGTGCATTCATGCTAAAAGAGACGACTAGGCAGAGAGCTGCCCTTAATTATCGTGAATACTATTTCTTTCTACGATAAAGTAATGGAGGTACTTCCCCCATTATTCATTTACAAAATGAATAAAAAATTCAGTATTCTTCTTTTTGGAGAAGTAAACAAAAAGAGTTTCTGTATGTGAACCTCGATTGATAACTTTAGTCAGGAACCTTTGCTGAGGAAGGACTCAGAACCTCAGAACCTCAGGGGCGGGGTGCTCCGCCAGAGAAGATTCTCTCCCTGAGGCCAGAACTCGGTCTTTCATAAGTGAAAAGAGGCTTTCAGAGGCTTTGCCCTGATAATTTAGATCAGCCCATCACAGAGGCTTGGCCCAGAGACCCTGACATAGGGAGGTGACTGATAAAAAGTGTGATGGAACTCTTCTAACACAGAGATCCAGCAGTCTGTTCATGATCTCCAGGCTCAGGGAAGCACTGTTTTTGATTATACCCCCGAGCACTGTACCATATAGATAAATCGTGAGCTTTGAACAGAGGCTTGGTCCTAACTCCTGCCCTGCCTGCTCAAACTGCTTCTCTAGAAGGATGAGGTTCTAATATCTTCTGGGGTTCCCACCTCAGATATGTCTCTGCACCAACTTCATTGATGTAGTAAAGTGGGAAGAGGAACAGGTAAGCGTCAGTCCATGTGGTGGGCTGGGTCTAGGATTTCCTTACCTAATGTGTGTGTCTCTTCCACAAACATTGACAAAAAGGAGCCCTGGTGGCGCAGTGGTTAAGAGCTACGGCTGCTAACCAAAAGGTCGGCAGTTCGAATCCACCATCTGTTCTTAGGAAACCCTGTGGGGCAGTTCCACTCTGTCGTATAGGGTCATTTATGAGTCGGAATCAACTCGATGGCAACGGGGTTTTATTGACAAAAATAAATTCCTCCGTAGGTGCTCGATAAGCAGAATGAGGATCTTTGATCCCCACAGGAAGTAGAAACTGGAATCGCTTTCACACACAGTCAAGCTTCAGCTCAGCCAGGCACATACGTGAGACTGCTCAGAAAAAAATACATACAGCTGTAGTTCGCCACTCTTTCTGACGTGAACAACTGCATCAGGAATCTGGGGACCGAGAGTGTGTGTTCTAGAGTTCCAGGCATGCATCACAGCAATGGAACATCGCGGGACCCTCCCACACCCATCCTGGGCCAAACTGATCCCCCTATTCCCCTTTTGCCTTCCCATCATTTCACGCATCTAACTTGCAACAATGGGTTCAAACATAGCAAAGAACGTGAGGATGGCACAGGACCAGGCAGTGTTTTGCTCTGTTGTATATAGGGTCTCTATGAGTCAGAACCAACTGGACTGCACCTAACAACAACAACTTGGAATGACTATGTGTTCCACATGTAACCACTTAGATAGCACCTGGGTCTGTACTCACCTGAAGGAAATCTTAGCTTTGACTCCATCAGTTCCACGACCTTGGAAGTCAGGTGGTTTGTTAGCAATGCTTGCCAATTCCCAGAGATTTATGCTTTCAGGATTTTCTCTGCCCTCAGCTCAGGATGTCCTGTGAAATCTGCCTTTGCCTTAGATTTACCCAGAGAACTCTGCCCCGCCTCCAATTTCCTCAAAATAATCTACTTTTAAAAAATGATTCATTAGCCATGTGGCTTTTTTGAAACATAGTAAAAGACAAGGAAAGAGGTGCTAGTATGTCCAAAGAAAAAATTGTTCAGTATAATCCCATGGTAATTGTTTTCCTCCCAGGGTCTTTTCTCAGGTTCCCTGCCCCGATGGCTCTTGAATCTTCTTCCTCCACCTATTAAATGCCCTGCTAGCCCCACTCTCCTCCATATCCAAACCAAGAAACCAAACCCATTGTCAATGAGTCGATTCCGACTCATAGCGACTCTGTAGGACAGAACAGAACTGCTCCATAGGGTTTCCAAGGAGCAGTTGGTGGATTCTAATTGCCAACCTTTTGGTTAGTAGCCGAGCTCTTAACCACTGCACCACCAGGGCCTCCTTCTGTATATCAGGCCCCATCTATTCCCCAACTTTTACATTGTTTATTTTGTTGGAGATTTTGCCCTACTTGCAAGTTAGTGAGTTAGGATGCATGGTTTCATAGATGCTGCTAGAATGCAGGAGACTCTAGGGTCAGAGACAAAGAACTTTATTACTCATGGCACAGGCAGCTTTTGCTCCATGTTCTCACAAGTTTCCCTTGCCCCCCTGTTATGGATTGAATTGTGCTCCCCAGAAATATGTGTTGGAAACCTTGTCCCTACATATGTGGATGTAATCCCATTTAGGAATAGGGTTTTCCCTGTTATATTAATAAGGCCATATCAGTGTATGAGTCAGAACCAACTCGACAGCACCTAACAACAACTTGGAATAACTATGTATTCTACATGTAACCACCTAGATATCACCTGGGTCTATACTCGCTTGATGGAAATCTTAGCTTTGTGCTTAAGCCAATCACTTTTTAGATATAAAAGGAGCAGATTAGGCACAGAAGCAAGCACAGAAAAAGAGGGAAAGATTGATGCCACATGGAGATCTCCAAAGGACCAAGGAACAGAAGCTGAAAAAAGACAAGGACCTTCCCTCAGAGATGATAGAGAAAGCCTTCCCTTACATCCAGTGCCCTGAATTTGCACTTCTATCCTTCTGTGAGGAAATACATGTCTGTTTGTTAAAGTTACTCACTTGTGGTATTTCTGTTACAGCAGCACTAAGAAACTAAGACAGCCCTCCAATATCCATGGGGGCCAGGCAGAAAGTTCCAGGCAGATGCTTGCATCCCAGCTGAGGAACCTTGAACTTAGGAAATCCCTGCTTTAAAGGGGTCTGCTAGAACACCTGCGTGACTTTAACTTCAGAGGGAGACATCTTTATTTATAACTCTACCTTCCAAGCCTGTTTGTTATATAAATATATGTGAAAAGACAGTTCAGGGTAAAAACTTTCAATACCTTGGCACAGAAGGCATCAAAAAATGTGAAGACCTTATGGAAAAGATTCTTTCAACAGGACTCATCCATCATTTCTACATTGTCTTGGATTCTGGTGAGCTTTCCCATGACGATCATACAATTGATCACTCTGATTAATCTCACCAACAGTGGCTGGGACCAAATACATTCAGTTTGTCTGGTGTAGCTTTTTAAGACTACCCCTAACAGGACTTCACCCAGCATGTTGAGGTCAATTAAAAAAAATATATGTATTTTTAATTGTGCTTTAGGTGAAACTTTATAGAGCAAATTAGTTTCTCATCCAACAATTTATACACAAATTGTTTTGTGACATTGGTTGCAATCCCTGCCATGTGTCAACACTCTCCCCTTCCACACCACAATTCTGCGTTTCCATCCGTCCATTTTTCCTGCCCCTTCCTGCCTTCTCATCATTGCTTTTGGGCCAGTGTTGCCCTTTTGGTCTCAGATACATGATTGAACTAAGCAGCACATTCCTCATGTGTGATATTGTTTGTTTTATAGAACTGTCTAATCTTTGGCTGAAGGGTGAACTTCAGGATCAACCTGCATATTGACCTAATGAATGCGCCCCATGTTTCTGGACACAATCAGCTGAAAAAAATCCCATAAATAATCAGGGTCTACCTCACAAACAAGGTAATTTTCCCTTACGTTTCCATATTGATCTTTCTGCTTGGCCCTAGGCATTAATCTAGGTACATCATGGTAACTAGTGATTGCACAGACTCTACCTTTGCCATCGAGGAGAAAGTCCAGAGACAGAATCTCCTACGTGGCCTCCCAGAGATCTGGTAAAGCTTAGTGTTCCCAGTTCAGTTTCGACAATTAAGTCTAGTCTTTGTTTTTGCAGGGATTGTCTGAGGGTAGTGAGTCTGACCTGTTCTGTTTGTCTATGCCACCAGCAGGCTGGCATTTGTTCACCTTTCTAAATGACTGAGAACGTGGATGAGAGGACATTCAGAGGTGTTTTGTACGAGAGGTGAAGGAACTAGAGCTATCCTTTGTTATTTTCATTCTATCCCTTCTTGTTTTCATTAGACTTTTCAGTAAGGCTAAGAGGAATGGCAATCAAATCATGGTAGAGACGACTGGTGGTGGGTGGCAGTCAACTGGTAGTTGTTTTAAGGCAACTGCAACAGCTTGGGAGCACCACACTAGGGAATTTTCCTTTGCGTGGTAGGATCCAATGATGGAATCAGAAAGACAAAGATCATCAATCCCAGTCTCTCTCCCTTCATAACTCCCTTGGGCTAATGGGTTACCTCCACAAGGTGTTGTGTTATTCATCCTCTGCTAAAACCAAAAAAATGAACCCGATGCTGTCAAGTTGATTCCAACTCATAGTGACCCTATAGGACAGAGTAGGACTGCCCCATAGGGTTTCCAAGGAGTGGCTGCTGAATTCGAACTGCCAACTTATACAATATCTATGTGCCCCATTCCAGTAACTATAAATTTGCCTTTTTACCAATCATTCATTACTCACACATATTTATAAAACTTAACCACCATTCAGATTAAATGATAAAGGCCCCCCTTTTTCAGACTGCTAAGCAGATGTTGTATCCACCAGGATGGTCAGAGCATCTTGCTCAAGAATAGTCTGGGCAGAATCATGGATTTTTACAACAAGTCTGTATAATCCCACTATTGTCTGATCATTATTGAAATAGCATCCAAAAGCCTATGTTCTCTTTCTGGAGACAATCATATTCAATTACCAAACTAGATGTGTGTACTAGGAGAAACCCTATTAATTGTATTACGCGTCCTCCTCACTTATCGACTATCTCCTTACCCGACATTTTGCATTTACAGTAGTAAAAAATCTACTATCTGACTATTTTGTGAATTAATGACGTACATCTGGCAGTAATGAATGCTGAGGTATGAGGTGAGAGTAATGCTGACTGTGATGGTTAGGGTTATGTGTCAGCTTGGCTGGGTCATGATTCTCAGTGGTTTGGCAGTGATGTACTGATATAATTTAGTAGATATGTAATGAAACTTGGCTGTTATGTAATGATGTAGTCATCCTCCATTTTGTGATCTAATGTGGTCATCCTCCATTTTTGCATAATGCCAATTTCACATAACAACCTGGTCTTTGGAACCTAAACATGTCGATAAGTGAAGAGTGGGTGTAATCTCAACATTTGTATTGGCTTGGGTTTCTCAGCATCCTACAGATAATCCAGTTCAGCTGTATTCACTATCTGGCACCAAACTGACCCCTTCCACCTAAACTGAAAGCTACAATCCTACTGGGCCAGCATCTCCTCCTCCTGACCTGCCTGGATCATCACCATCTCACTATCCAACTACGACTCTTCTGAAGAGTGGAGAGATTCCATTCTCCGCGAAGTGGAAAGCATCCTTTCTGGATCTAGTTTCAGACCTGATAACTGGCCCAGATCCTACTATTACAACTCACAGATACCCAAGCACATTGATGGACTGGTAGCTCCACCTCCAGGTATTTTGCAACTGGTATTTCTGGAAACTTTCTTAATTGAAACCCAATCAGCTTTTGATACTATGCAGGGTCTCTGATTTGCTTGCAGGAATAGCTTAAGAGGTTTAAAGGACCACAGACAAATAGTTGATGGGCTCTTAGAACTCAACAGCCAGTGGAACCCCCCAGGAAGACAGACCTGAATATATTCAGACAGCTCTTTGCTGCCAGGGTTGTACCCATCTAGGCAAAATGAGGACTCACTCTTTTGGTAGACTCTACAATTGTAAGCTCAGAATATGTATTCAATTACTAACAGCTTATATATTGCTGCATGTATCAGCTTCTTTTGCTAATGCACAAACCCTTACAATTAAATCTCCTTCCTTGACCATTGAAACACTAGATCCACTTTTGACCTACAAGGATAAAGTACTTTTATTAGCATAGATCAAGAAAAGCTTAATGGAATAAGGTCCATTCCATATCACCCCTGGATATCTAATCATATGTTAGACGATATCTTTTCTCCTTTGTGTTCTGATTACCGGAATCACCATTTACATATTCATGGATGGAAAAACTCCAGAAGTTAGCCAGATGTGGCGATCGCTGGGCTGACTTTTGGCATATGCACCATATATCTAAATATGTTAACCAAGAAGATCATTTTTGTTCTGTTTTCCTTCCTGGATGATTCTTACCAGGCCATGAAACAATATTTTATTCTCCAGAGGATATGCCCTTAATAATGATTATAATCTTGTTGGCTCAGAATGTCTATGTAAAGAACAGATTGCATCACTTAATGCGTACAGTCTCTGATCATGTGACTGGTACATACATGATTTGACAAAAGGCTGATATCACATGGCACAGTGGCAATGGATCCATGTACGCAGTGAAGCTTACATGGACTACTGTGAACCTTCTGGCTTTCACAATAACCCTCTGTTCTCTAGTACTACTCTACCCCGACCCCTTCACCTACGATTCCTGCTGAACTTTTGCTAGACATGCTGAAAAACATTCCCAATGTCAGTGACTTATCTCGCCATTACCTTCTAAAAACCATATGAGATGGGGTGTCCCTTGGCAATATGATGTTTCTACTGATGAAATTATGACTCTTTTGGTCACAGAATGGCCTACTATGCTAATCTTACCATGTTGTTAGGTGCCGTCCAGTCGGTTCCGACTGACAGTGACCCTATACACAGCAGAACGAAACAGTGCCCGGTCCTGCACCATCCTCACAATCGTTGCTATCTTACCATACCCAACAGGATATTAGCTACTGCAGATAAAACATTCTTTAATGCTAAACCTTTTCAGAGGAGACACAAGGACTTGGATTCACAAAACTCGGTTAGAAACACAGACTTTTTACTATGATACTTGCTGTTGTTGCTAGATGCCGACCAGTCTGTTCTGACTCATGGCGACCCTATGCACAAGAGAGCGAAACACTGCCCGGTCCTACGCCATCCTCATGATCATTGTTATACTTGAGCTGATTTTTGCAGGCACTGTGTCAATCCATCTCACTGAGGGTCTTCCTCTCTTTCACTGACCCTATACTTTAACCAAGCATGATGTCCTTTTCCAGGGACTGATCCCTCCTGATAACATGTCCAAAGTATGTGACATTCTCACTTCTAAGGAGCATTCTGTCTGTACTTCTTCCAAGACAGACTTGTTCGTTCTTCTGGCAATCCATGGTATATTCAGTATTCTTCGCCAGCACCAGAATTCAAAGGCATTAATTCTTCTTTGGTCTTCCTTATTCATTGTCCAGCTTTCACATGCATATGAGGCGATTGAAAACACAATGGCTTGGGTCAGGTGCATCTTCATCTTTGTCATGGATTGAATTGTGTCCCCCCAAAATAGCTGTCAATTTGGCTGGGTCATGATTCCCAGTATTGTATGATTGTGTACCATTCTGTATTTTGATGTGATTTCGTTATGTGTCGTAAACTCAATCACTATGATGTAATAAGATGGATTAGTGGCCCTTATACTGGCAGTTACAGTTATCTAGTCTACAAGATTAGATCATGTCTTAAGCCAATCTCTTTTGAGATATAAAAGAGAGAAGGGAGCAGAGACACATGGGAACCTTACACCACCAAGAAAACAGTGCTGGGAGCAGAGCACGTCCTTTGGACCTGAGGTTCCTGCGCTGAGATGCTCCCAGACCAAGGGAAGACTGATGCATCACAAGGACCTTCCTCCAGAGCCTACATGGAGAGAAAGCCTTCTCTTGGAGCGGATGCCCTGAATTTTGACCTGCAACCTACTGGACTGTGAGAGAATAAACTTCTCTTTGTTAAACCCATCCACTTGTGGTATTTCTGTTATAGCAGCACTAGATGACTAAGACAGTCTTCAAGGTGACATCTTTGCATTTCAGCACTTCAAAAAGGTCTTTTATATGATACTTACTAACCTCAATTATATTAACTATAAACAAAACCTGAATTTGGACCCCCAAATTAAATTAAACATAGCGGTAAATGAGGAAAATGCCTCATCTAAGCAGTGTTTAACTAACTTGCAGTCCTGTTTAACTGAACCCACCACTATCCTGAACCTAATGACAAACACAGAAACCAATGACCAGGATGTGTGCAAACAGCACACACGGTTCTGGCTCTAGCAGAAATCCTTCCTGGACTAATACAGGGTCCAAGAGGATCTTTACTGTCCTTGTCCACCTGGATGTCACTATCGCTAACATTTCTGCTAGGCCCCTACATGGTTACAAGAGATTTGTTTGATGCTATGATAAGACATTTCTTAATGCTTCTGTTCTCTCTACTAATGTACCTGTTGACTATGTATGGAAGATCTCGTTGTCCCCATGTAAGAACGATCGTATACTAATCAGAGTTTATGGTGGCCCTGGCCTATTGTGGCCCCTTATTTGAGTTGTAGCACTCTGAGATTCCCCACACACCAGAACCTTCTTCTCTCTCTGAGTTTCTGGCTGGAGGCCCATTTTCTCTCTTCTCTTGAATCTTTGAGGCCTGCTCCCCTTAAGTTCAGGCCCTTGTCTGCCTGGGCTCAGGGGCCCCGTCTTGAGGATCATAGTACGATGATTTATTATTTTTTGCTCCAGGCTTTTGAACTTTTACATCCCCTCTGGCTCCTTTCCGAGTGTCTGAATGAGGTCAAG